TTACACTCAACACTTGATAGCTTTTATATTGTGCTGGATCAATTTGGTGATTGTCATCAAACATAACTTTCATTGTGTGACAAACTATTGAATTGAACAACAAATACATTCATATCAATAATGGCATCTATTTGTGACATACTTTCACCAAACATTAGTACAAATTAATGTCAATTTGCTTGAAAGGGTTAGTTTTGTTTCAATATTTGTGAGCAGTATTTATGAACATTTTGAAGGACTTTTATCGTAGTGTTACACAATGTTGTGGCAATAAGCTGATAAATCTTATTCAATAAGACAATGTATCAAGTTTAATTATGGTATTACTCATGTTAACTGTAATAATTGGTAATATGAAAACTATTCAAACTAAATTTATATACAAATTATAAAACACTTATGCTTTTTTTAATTATTGAATTAAATAACTGAATCAACTGAACAAATTGTATAGTATTAAAGTTTCAAAACTTTTTAAATTACATTCATAAAGTTTTGTGAATCGTAAAAGTTTTAACAAGTTTAATTAAATTTGAAAGCATATAAAATCGATTTATTATTGAATTAATAGAAATTTTTAATAAATACAGAAAAGTGTTGAAAAGTGTTGATTCATATGTTTTTGTATAGTTATTATGCGTTTAGTATTAGTGCGGCTGAGAGTGCTTTAAATTTAATGATCTGAGACATCCTTGTATTCATTTGTTTCAATGTTAATGTCATATAAATAAATAATTTCTCGCTTTAAAAATAGACTAAATAAAGGGTATTTTTCACAGTATAGAGCTATAAATTAATTTTAAAATTTTATTTAGCGATATATTACTCTTAAATTTCACTAATCTTAAGTGTGCCTAAGAGGTATAATAAACATACTTCAAAAATCCGGATGTTTGAGTTTTAGTAATTACTCATTTTTATTATATCCACTCTATACAACAGACTATAATACTGTAATATTAAAAACATTAGAATTCACACGGATTCTCCATATTATTTGTATGAAGTTTTATCCGGATGTTTGAGTTTTAGTAATTACTCATTTTTATTATATCCACTCTATACAACAGACTATAATACTGTAATATTAAAAACATTTGACACAATACAATAGGTTTGGTCAATGTTGTGACAAATTGCTATAATGATTTGATGATACTGATTAGTAGTTTTGTGGTACTGTTACTTGAATTTAAGTTACGGTGCTATAGTATAACTAATTATAATTTATATAAGTAATTTAGCGCATTTACCGTCAGATACTTCATTCAAATCTTTAATTTTTTAAATAATTATTTAAATGATAATCAAATACACTAATTAAATAAGGACTTGTATTTTATGCTTGTATTTTGCATACGATATGAACCAGTATGATTATATAATGAAGTTACCAAAATTCTAAGACAATAATCTATGAACAAAATACTTTACAAGTACCTATACTTTTATGAAAACAAGAAAATAATAATTATTATATTAAAGATTAAAAATACAAATGTATTTTTAATAATATGTTTTTAATAATTATATTAGATTTAGTAAATTTAATATACAGTATACGGTAATTACAGTAAATAGAAATTTAAGAAAACATAGCTTCTGATGGACAATAAATGAATTCACTATAAATCACGTTTAAATAAATCCTATTTTTCATAACTTTCACGAATGTACACTATCAGTAAATATCTCTTATCTGTTAAAAATATTTTATATAAAATACCAAAAAATAAGTTGTTTCTTATAAATAACTACATTCATACTATTTCGTAAAATCAATTTACAATTAGGTATTTAGAATGTCCAGACATAATTTTAACTTTCAAGAATAATAAATACACATTAATTAAAATTCCTCCACCATATGAACGTTAGAATTGAAACACTCTTTTCTTACAAGTAATTAAAAGTAAATGATTTAACACCTAAACAAAGCATAACTTATAAAATACTTGTAAATATAATGACAGACTTGAGGTGTGCTATAAACAACTTGTTGTTAATGTTAAAATACATCAGATTCTGTAAATAACTTTCGTATACATACTGAATGCTGTATACAGGTACCCTATACAGTATGAATAAAATAAAAAACTTTTGTAATGAAAAGTTGCAGAATTGAAGGTCAAATAATCATTATACTGAATACTAAACACTATACCTATAATTGCTTATATGGAAAAATAAATATATTATACACTTACCATTATTGCAGTAGAATACGAATGAATGATTTTTACCTTTAGTTTTAAAGCAAGAGTTTAATCAATGGCTTGAAATCGTTTTATCCGCTATTGTTCTTATGTTAAACAATATTTTGGACATAATTTTAACAACTGACTTATAATATCTAGTTCATTGACAAAATATTTAAATAATGCCTCGTTTTCAGACGTTGAAGAGTTATTCCTATCGAAATGCACCGAAAAAATTAATTCCTGCTATCATTGCCTGCAAGTGTGTGCCATACCTCATGGTGTTTGGATTTTTTATCACATTATGCGGTTTAATACCATTTATTGTTAACCAAGATGTCGATGTCAATGATCAGATCGTAGATTCAAACCATACAAGTGAATCACTTCACAATAAGTCGGTTGAGATTTCTCATCATTTCAATGATAGTGTCATTGATAGAAATCCACGATTTATTGGTCGCCAACAATTTGATATGATCAGATCGTAGATTCAAACCATACAAGTGAATCACTTCACAATAAGTCGGTTGAGATTTCTCATCATTTCAATGATAGTGTCATTGATAGAAATCCACGATTTATTGGTCGCCAACAATTTGACTACATTCGTAAATATCATCTAATTGATTTCAATTACTATTTTCACTTTTTTAGATAAATAACTATAAGGACAATTTGAAAGCCCATATAATTTTAGATAGTGCTTAATTTAAATATTACTTATATTAGAAAATGTGATAAAACTTTTAATGATTTATAACGATTTTGAATAATTAATTGTGTGTATTATAAGTATTAACACCAGTAATTTGTATACAGTGTACTCGTGTATGGGAATCGGTGGTCTGTTAATTGTTTGTGGCATTGTGTGTCTTATGATAGCGTATTACTACTTCAAAATGTATCAAAACGACAGAATACGACACATTGAGATCACGGACTTGGATGGAGACCAGTCTCACAAAGTGATAACCGACCCAATAATCGATGGCATCGGTTATCCTATTACTACATACATTAGCAATAAAACTAATTATTCTGAATATCAGCCCATTTCACAAAATAGTAGCATTGTTTATAAGTCAACCACTGAACCCATTGTTAAATAAGTTTTCAAAAATAATCAATTATTTAATTTTGTCATTATAATAAAATTAATAAGAATCGCAACATAATGTAATTACTAGTCAAGTTAGTGTTTGAAAATACAATATTAAATCTAAATGATTTTTTTATTAACCAGTATCATTATATAAAATTTTAATATTAATGGAAAATTGTTTTTAATAAATACTTAATTTAAAAGACTAATTGTTTATTTATGAATATTTAATATGCTTAATACCGTTAGTTGTCAGATATTGTACACTTGGTATTTTTTAAATTGTGGTCTGTTAATTGTTTGTGGCATTGTGTGTCTTATGATAGCGTATTACTACTTCAAAATGTATCAAAACGACAGAATACGACACATTGAGATCACGGACTTGGATGGAGACCAGTCTCACAAAGTCATAACCGACCCAATAATCGATGGCATCGGTTATCCTATTACTACACACATTAGCAATAAAACTAATTATTCTGAATATCAGCCCATTTCACAAAATAGTTGCATTGTTTATAAGTCAACCACTGAACCCATTGTTAAATAAGTTTTCAAAAATAATCAATTATTTAATTTTGTCATTATAATAAAATTAATATGAATCGCAACATAATGTAATTACTAGTCAAGTTAGTGTTTGAAAATACAATATAAAATCTAAATGATTTTTTTATTAACCAGTATCATTATATAAAATTTTTAATATTAATGGAAAATTGTTTTTAATAAATACTTAATTTAAAAGACTAATTGTTTATTTATGAATATTTAATATGCTTAATACCGTTAGTTGTCAGATATTGTACACTTGGTATTTTTTAAATATAAAATGAAATTATAAAATACTTCATATGAAGGCCATTAAGTATTTGATTTGTTTTTGCAATAATTATTTAATTGTTCAGTATGATATATGATGAGTTTGTAAAAATGTGTGTAATTGTGTGGGCTTTGGATAACACAATTGAATTGAACTCATAATTGTATTTTTCTAATTTCAAGTTAAACTTCATATTTTTAAAAAGATAGTCAAATTTTAACTAAATTTGTGACATTGTAATTCAAAAGGTTGTACCAATTATATTAGCAATGTATTTTATTCAAAAATAATTAATTTTTAATAACATATTTTATATTATCCTAATAATTTATATTATATTACACTGAGTTTTAAAAATAACATCAACATTTTATAATAATTTTGTATAATTTGGTAATTTTAACATGGTACTTATTCACAAAACAGTTCTATACGTGTAAACCTTACAATTCAAATGATTTGTTTAAAAATAGTAAAATTGTTGACTGTATAAATTTAGTAAAACACATTGTATTTCAATCAATGCCTTTGTTTGAACATAAGTTACTGTACTGTACTGTACTGGTACAATTATGACTCAATTCAAATAATCACAATGGATATGAAAAAACTACCTTGCAAAACTTTGTAAATTTACAAGTTATTACAAGTTTGCACATACAGTCCATGCAGTCAATTATCAGTAGATCTAGAATCTAGATAACAGTAAAGAGTTTTCAGTTGTTTATAAAGTTATTAAATTTAGTTATTACCCAGCTGATTCCAGTTAACCATTTACTAATTCTTATCAATTAACTACAAATTTGTCTTAAATACAAATATTATGAAATTAAAAATGCTTTTACGTTTCATCTAGGTCTCATTTGCATAGGTTTGTACACAAATAGCGTTCGTCACACATATGGCAACAAATGTTACGCAATGTATGATAACATAGAGTCGATTGAATAGACGCCCAAAACATTGTGGACTGTATTGCAGTGCCATATGAGACACATGTCCATCAGTGCCACTATTCATGCATTACTTTCACCCTATTTCACTCATACATCCATTAGTGTATTCACAGTGCGTCCATCATAATAGTGCCTAATATAGTGGTCAAACACTATGACAGTAGTTTGATATATACAAATGATCTAGTACAGTTCAGTTGAGTAGAGTGCATAACATTGTTGATGATGTCGGGGTCATACGAGTCGGATGAGTGCGGGGCCGACACGTCCAACCAAATGATGAGCAAACTGTTGCCAATACTGCTATATATCCGCAATTATAATGAGTATAATCGCCACAAACCCACGGAATCCATGACTACTGCCAACAAAGTGCCCAATGGTTCACAACCTATGCAATCATATTACGAGGTATACCACACCCACCCCACCCTCACCTCATACATTGCACATACCAATTGATCACCCAATTGATCCAGCTCACTACTATCATGCATAATAATATGTTGATAAAAATTAAATTTAATAAATTTTATGTTAATTATAAGTTATAATTGATAACTAATATAACAATTATTAATATAAATGATACGATCAATAATGTTGTATTCAAAAAAGTGCCAATATTTAATTAATTACGATTAGCATAATTAATATGACAAGATACATAAGTTATTAATTAATAGGCTAATTATTTTAGATGATATATTGTATGTTCATAAAATGTATTTCTGATTTACACTGACTGTGATATAACTTTAGAAAGATTTATGATTAGAAATAATGTTTATTAGTTGTGTCTAACTTGTGGTTATGTCATATATTTTGGCACTGTTTTTAGCTTTTTAGCATTTTTACTCACAATTACTAGATTTGCAGTAATTCTGTATTCAGTAAAAATAACAAATCTCATAGAAAAACATTTTTAACACCAAACTTACATTCGTATAATAAACTCCATGAACATCATGTTAATGCTATCTATACACTAAAAATACATGCTTATATTGTAAGTGTATGCCAATTCATTAACCCAAAACTTTTTCTACTTTGAATGTACCAAAAATATGATCAGGGTTCAAGTGATATACAGTACTCAGATAATGGTTCGAGTGATCCAGTGTTCACTAATTGTTGGCCACGTATTTACAAAAGCCTTTAAAAAACGGATTTTAGTCATAACTCCTTAATTGACAGTACAGTACAGTATAGTTTGTTTCTAATTAGCATTTGTCACATGATTTAAGTGCGAGTTTCTATAAATTATAAATAAATCGTCATTTTGCACACCAAAGCATTTTTAATGACACATTTTGTCTGCAATTAAATCACTATATTTTATAATATAATATATTATACAGTACTGTAGTGTATATGAAGCAGTAATTAAATACTATCGTTAAACTCGGCTTTAATCTAAGTGTAATAATATTAAACAGTACTAACTATACGCTAATATATGATATTAATGAACGCTTTGTTAGGCGGAGGCATCTCTGGCCGCCCGACGCCGGGCCAGGGCTGAGGCCCGAGCCATACGACTGAAAGAATGGGAAAAGAGGCGAAACGAGTCGACCACAGAAACAGCCGGATATTCCCGAAGAAGGAGCGATGACTCGCTCGGTGACCAACTGGCAGACGGCCGACAATATCGGGTACGCATTCCTGACCCCACCTAATATGACGGCTATTTACACAATCCCATTGACTTAACATGAGTTTTTTAGTCATAAAAAGCAATCTTTTTTACCAAAATTGCAGTAAATCTCACTCTTTATAGTAATTTTTGATTAGTTTGTAAAAAGTAATAGAAAATAATTAAAATTAGTGTAAATTTAGTCTTATTAAAGATATCGTATAAAAAACAATCTTTTTTACCAAAATGGCAGTAAATCTCACTCTTTATAGTAATTTTTGATTAGTTTGTAAAAAGTAATAGAAAATAATTAAAATTAGTGTAAATTTAGTCTTATTAAAGATATCGGTGATATAAAAACTACTTTTTGACAACTTTGCTAACAAATGACTGTTTGTTGATTGGGTTGATAGCGTCGGTCACGGGAATCGGTGGCGAATGACGAGAAATCTGATACCGAATCGATGGCTAATGGCGTTCAGTCGGACTCTGAGCGGCAATCGCTGTTTCTTGCGGTCCAGACATACAAAGATGACTTAGAAGAGCTCGAAGAGAACATCATTCGCTGTCAAAAGGACTATAAAGACAAGTGTCAGGTAATGATAAACATTGAATGTAATCACTGGCCAGTGACCAGTGACCAGTGACCAGTGACCAAGGCAATTATTTCATTTTATCCTCTTTTCTGACAAAAATAGTCTTTTGATGAAATGAACGCAGAGTTTAAGAAATTAGAAGAAGAGTGCGATTATTATAACCAACGGTTGCGGCAAAGGGAACGACTCATTGAGGTTTGGGATTCAAAAATACAAACCATTTAAACATAATTGAAGTAAAAGTTCATTAATGACGGCTCACAGGAGGCGGGTTTAGTGCCGATAGAGTGGGACGAGTGGCGCGACGGGCACCGGGCGGACAGCGATCGCAACCCACGGGCGCCAAACGGACTGAACGGCCATTCGAGTGAATCAATTAGCGGCCCGTCATTGGTGTCCCGAGAGGTGGCTCTTTTGCTGGCTGACGTGGAAGGGGTCTCATTGACCGCCAAAATTGATGCCTTATTGAATGGTATAAAAAGCAATCTTTTTTACCAAAATTGCAGTAAATCTCACTCTTTATAGTAATTTTTGATTAGTTTGTAAAAAGTAATAGAAAATAATTAAAATTAGTGTAAATTTAGTCTTATTAAAGATATCGATGAGACAAAAACTACTTTTTTGACAACTTTGCTAACAAATGACTGTTTGTTGATTGGGTTGTTAGCGTCGGTCGCGGGAATCGGTGGCGAATGACGAGAAATCTGATACCGAATCGATGGCTAATGGCGTTCAGTCGGACTCTGAGCGGCAATCGCTGTTTCTTGCGGTCCAGACATACAAAGATGACTTGGAAGAGCTCGAAGAGAACATCATTCGCTGTCAAAAGGACTATAAAGACAAGTGTCAGGTAATGATAGACATTGAATGTAATCACTGGCCAGTAACCAGTGACCAAGGCACTTATTTCATTTTATCCTCTTTTCTGACAAAAACAGTCTTTTGACGAAATGAACGCAGAGTTTAAGAAATTAGAAGAAGAGTGCGATTATTATAACCAACGGTTGCGGCAAAGGGAACGACTCATTTCGGTTTGGGATTCAAAAATACAACCCATTTAAACATAATTGAAGTAAAAGTTCATTAATGACGGCTCACAGGAGGCGGGTTTAGTGCCGATAGAGTGGGACGAGTGGCGCGATGGGCACCGGGCGGACAGCGATCGCAACCCACGGGCGCCAAACGGACTGAACGGCCATTCGAGTGAATCAATTAGCGGCCCGTCATTGGTGTCCCGAGAGGTGGCTCTTTTGCTGGCTGACGTGGAAGGGGTCTCATTGACCGCCAAAATTGATGCCTTATTGAATGGTCGCCAGAGTTTGGCGCAAGAGATGGCGTCTTTGACGGCCGAACTCGACGATGAGAGACAGAGGACCGCCGATTGCGAGGCATTGATTGCGGCGTCGAGTGACGGCTCAAACACCGCTCTCAATGAGGAGTCAAATCGTAAGTTTACTATAAGTTATATTGCGGTATATATACTGTAACTGATGTATACCTATAGGTGAGGCCAACAAAGTGGTCGCCGATTATAAGTTAAAAGTCATGAAACGAGAGCAAGAGATCAGTGTTTTGACCGGAAATGTGAGCCGACTTGAGACCCAACTGTCGAGGTATAAGACGGCCGCCGATGAGGCCCAGGAGTTGGAGGACGAGCTGAAGGCCGAGAAACGCAAAACGCAAAGAGAGGTAATGGATCCAGATGACAGTTGTATTGCCATTGTGGTAGTGGCTAATATGTTTTACTAACACTAGTGTCCTGTTATATAATATTGATATATTAATAACATATATCTATAAACTGGTAATTAATTTGTTTGAAAACAGTTGAGGGAAGCGTTGGCCAGAATCGAAGAATTGGAGACATCAGGCGCTCACTTACAGAAACGAATCGACAAACTCATGACAAACCGCAATATTAGCGCTAATAAAGCACCAAATGATGACTGATTTAGGGTTTTCTTAAATATATTTCTTATAAGCAAATATATACGCAAATAATGTTCATTTTAACTCTGCTTTAATATGACCGGCAATTTCAATTAAGCTGCATTCATAAATACCGGGCAAAGGGTGTAAACATCTTGTCTTGTTGTTTATATAATTAATTTATATAAATAATTTCTGTATGAATTAAATTAAGCGAACAAATTTTTGTAATTAAATATTAATTTAAATTAAACATATGACTACATTTTTATTGCATATACTAGTAAAGAATTTACAGAATTTCCTGTACAGAATTTTATTTGTACCCTATTACTGTATAATTATTTTTGTTTTGATTATTAATTATAGTCTATATATTATTAATTATAATTTATAAATTAAACACATTATTCTTATGTGATATTTACTTAAATTATTGTATATCTTAAATAAAAATAAGTTATTAGTCAGTTAGCAATGAATAGATTATTTTAAAAATAATTTTCATAGTATATCTTTAATATTAACGAATATTTTTATTATTTATAATTTATAAATAGTTTTATAATTTAAAAATAATTTATTTTAATACTCTCAACTTCAGAGTCTGAACAAATATTACAACTTTTTGATATGTATTACTCAGTTAGAATATTTGTTCAGGATCAAACCATTACGAACACAAAAAATATTTGAATGATATTAAGTAATAATTTATTCATTTATAAATAATATAACTACCTTTTTTATAAAATAAAGTATGGTTTATTAAATTTAAGGTAGTAAGTTTTTATTTTAGTAATTTAATAATAAGGAGTTGTTAATTAATGAATGATACTATTTATAATTAATGGTTATATTTTTTTAACTAACAGTATTATTGCCTAATAACCAGTAAATAAGTTTTTCCATCATAACCATATTAATAGTCTACTAAATTATTGAAAATTATAATTTAATAGCTTATTTATCAATAAATCATTAGAATTTGATATAATAATTTTATATTTAAACTATTAACTAGAAAATCAGATTTGTGTCAATTATCAACCTTTTTTAAACTTTTGAATTGTGTGATATAAGTGACTTAGTGACCAAATGGCAATTAAATGTTATTTGAAAGTTATATCAGTTCATTAGAATTAACAGATAAGTGGAAAACCCTATATCTGTATTCAAGTAGTCATTATCTATTTATAAACAAACAATGAATCGTTAATCTAAAGTGTAACCAATATGAAAATACTGTATAATGAGATATTAATGATTTATACTGTATATGAGTATGAACACCGTTAAAATCACCCCAATTTAACTTGGAGTAAACTTATTGTTACGAAATATAACCAAGTATAAATTCTAACCAACGACTGATTCTTAATAAAATATCTTAATTTTTGGCTAAAGATGATATATTTGAAGCTGTGTTTCAGATATATTATTATTTTGTTTATAATTTGTATATTAAATGAAGTAAATTCTGAGGTAATATTATAAATATTAATTTATTATCAATATTATACAAAAAGTCTATATTTATATGATTTCATTTAAGTATCAAAATATATTGCTTATGACAAATGTATAGATACAAAATGATGGTACAACCAAGGCTCATTTAGTTCCATACCCGCAACAAATAGTCACTTATCCGACACAACTTACTATTGATTCAAAAAATTTTAAGTTTGTCACAAAAACCAAACAAAAATGCGATCTATTGGATGAGGCCATCAAAAGATACCAGAAATTATCATTTATTAATGGATGTTATCATTTGAATCATTTGAGTGAAAACACGTTTAAAACGGATTATTTTGAACCCAATGAAGACTATCTGACAAATATAACAATTGAAGTGAAAGGTGATTGTATTGATGAGTGGCCACACCTTCATATGGATGAGATGTATACGTTAAGGATAGACACCGAAGACTTTCCTAAACAGGCCGTCATATTCGCCAACACAATATGGGGTGCTTTAAGAGCATTGGAGACGTTCTCACAATTAACTCATCATAAATCGGACACAATATATGCCATCAATTCTACACTTATTTTAGATAAAGGAGCAAAATGTATGTCTCCTCATAATTAGCTATGAAGTTCTGTAAAGGACGGTTAAGTACACTAAGAACTCTTGAACCTACAGTACAGAATGATATTCTACTTACAGGAAGTGACCGTATATCTGGATGACCAGTCTTTCCCTTATGTAAGTGAAAAGTTCCCAGAATTAAGCGAAAAGGGATCTTATAATCCAAAGACTCATGTCTACAACACTCAAGATATAGAAAATGTGATTACATTCGCGCGAATGAGAGGTATAAGAGTTATTGTTGAATTGGACAGTCCTAGTCATTCATTATCATGGGGTAAGGGATACCCCAAACTATTGACGGAATGTTATTCTGGGGGTCAACCTACTGGCCAAATGGGGGCATTGGATCCAAGCAGAAACTCTACTTTCGAGTTTTTAAATTCATTGTTCACAGAGATTGCTCACAAGTTTCCCGATCAATACATACATATAGGGGGTGATGAAGTGAACACCACGTGTTGGAAAACTAATCCTGATATCCAGTTATTTATGAAAAACATGGGAATTTCACCAGTTATATTATTTGAGCTTCTTATGAAGAAGTTCGCTAATTGTCTATTATAAAGGCCTGAATTATTCTCAACCTAACATACCGTCCTTCACAAACTGTCGTTATAATGATAAGGATTGTTATCTGTGATTAACGTATGGAAAGAGAACTATAACAAAGAGTTATATAATTTAACCAAGTTGAATTACCCGGTCATATTGTCTTCGTGTTGGTATTTGAATAAAATATCTTATGGTTACGATTGGTTCCAGTACTACGGTTGTGATCCACAAAACTTCAATGGCACTGAACAACAAAATAAATTGGTGTTAGGGGGACAGGTGTCTATGTGGGGGGAATGGGTCGATGCCAGCAATTTCATGACCAGAACTTGGTTTGTAATGTCTGTTATGAATTGTAACTAAACTATAAATCTATTGTCTGTTGTCTTAGGCCACGGGCAGTATCTGTGGCCGAGAGGCTGTGGAGTGCAAAGAGTTTGTCGAATGCAACGGAAGCTCAGTATCGGTTTTCTGTTATGAATTGTAACTAAACTATAAATCTATTGTCTGTTGTCTTAGGCCACGGGCAGTATCTGTGGCCGAGAGGCTGTGGAGTGCAAAGAGTTTGTCGAATGCAACGGAAGCTCAGTATCGGTTTGTGCCCAACAGATGCCTGATGTTGGACAGGGGGCTAAGACTTCAACCCGTGGTTGAGCCTAAAGAGTATCAATTTGGGTTTTGTAGGTGTGATCCCGAGGTGTAGTCAAACACGCCAAGTCAATAACTATAGTATATGACATATTATTTCAGACTGTAATTAAGAATTAAGTTTTCTTATATTTTATAAAAGACTTTATAAATATGGCATCTTCACTTCTTAATTAACTAATTTTACTCTTAGTTTCTGATTTATTGATAGAATTCATTGTGAAAGATATGAATTAGAAAATGAATTAAATTAAAAAATAAAAACTAAAATGTGATTGAATTGAATGAATGAATGCATGCATTGACTGATGCCTTAAGCGCGAGATGTTTGAGACATTGATTCAAATGAATGAATGAATGAATGATTCCAACAGTGATTGCATTGATTAGTCATTCACTGAAGTCCTGTCTCTGCCATCAATTGCCTGCAATGGAAGTGATGAGTGACTCGACCTCAGAGGTGCGGATCCCTCGCCCTGCGAACGCATTCATGATATTCGGCAAAGAGTATCGCAAAGTGTTGGCCAACAAGTTTCAGGACTTGTCTAACAAACAGATCAGCAAAATATTGGGCGACGAGTGGAAGAAAATGGACATCGAGTCGAAGAATCATTACCACAAACTCGCCGAAGAGACACATCGTCTGCATCTGGAGAAGTATCCCGGGTATTACTACTCCCCTTTGGAGGCCAGGCAGCGCAAGGCTGAGCGCAAACGCAAGTCTAAAATGTCCAGAAGTTGTCACTCAAGAACTAAGTCTGATCTCAACACCAGTTATCCAGTCATCGAACCATTCGGTGGAAACAGGTCTGCCTTTCCCGAAGTCATACCCTATAACCAGTAGTTTTGGTGACATTTCTATTACATACCAACAGATCGTATGTCTTTCACAGTCCTATTCATCCGCTGATAAGACCGGTCTTCGGGACTCCAATCCCTCCGAGGGCTCGATTTGCTGCACAACAGGCCTATCGTTACGGACTTTTCTATTACATACCCACAGATCGTATGTCTTTCACAGTCCTATTCATCCGCTGATAAGACCGGTCTTCGGGACTCCAATCCCTCCGAGGGCTCGATTTGCTGCACAACAGGCCTATCGTTACGGACATAATCAGCCATTTGGGGGCCATTTCTTCCGCTTTGGATTCCCTCCTCAGCCGAGACCCGCACTCATAGTTCCCGTCACTACTGACCACAACTATGCCTCTCAAGTGCCGTACGAGCAGTCGGTTCACCAGTTTGTGGCCTTTAATGATAGTTACGAACCACAGGTCAACACTCAACACATCACGAGTGAAGACATGACTGGAGAGACAGACATTGATCTGTTGTCCTCTTTTCTGCCGCCAATGCATAACCCATACTCTGAAGTGATACCAGTTGTCGAGGCAGAAGACACTGTCGATGCAAATGAGGTGACAGTCTGTGACTCAGATGTGACTAAAATGTCAAACGCGAGCCTCGAGAAGGACTTGACTTTGAAAGACGAGCCCATGGATGAAGACAATCACACCATAGACATGATGGGCGACAAAGTTGTGGTCAAATCTAATGACCAGTGATTGACATAAAAACTTACTTTAATTATAACTCTGTTTTATTTGCATTTCATATTTTGCAAGTTTTATAAATTGGTTTTTAGGTTATTTTAAGTTATATTTTACACATTATTAAAGTTAATAGTAATTTATTGTCATTTTTATACTTGCATTTGTGGTATTTTGTTAATACAGTATTTTATACCAAATTTTACAATAAAATGTATTACAGTTAATTGAAAACACATTAACAGTGAAAATTAAATTGAAAGATAAAAACAGTTAGACTAATTATAAGTAATTATAAGTTAAACTTACAGTACAGTACTTAAAATGGTAACGTCTACGGTAAACTAAAAACATGAATATCTGTGACTTGAAATTCAATACTTATTAGATTTACGTTTACAGTGCTTAAACTTGATAACTTTTTTAATTTAATAGTCAGTGAGAATTAAACACATTGTAACTTATAAAAGATGAACACATTACTGCCTTTCTTACTTATTATAGTTGTAATTTTATATTGTGGTACAAATAAGATATTGTGGGTATTAGTTATCATCAAATACAGTATTTAACACTTCAATGTTTATGAATAAATTAATAAAAACATAAAAAATAAAATATGATATTAAATATTTCTATTAAAATCTGAATTAACATTATGTTGAATAAATTACTATAAGATTAAAAACTTAAATTATGATCCAAATATATAAATGAGATACATGTATATGTATATATACATGTATATAAATGTATCTTGTTTGTAGCAAATCCATATTGGTCCAAATTTGATCACTATTTTAGAAATTAATTTTTACCTGTAAATTATTAGATAAAAGTCACATAATTATATTAAATTACATCAAAGTTAAGGGGATGCTGCAGTTGATATGCCTAGATGAGCTTATGTGTTGACTGAAATACAGTAAAGCATGGATTTTGCTTATAATTTAATTTAAATCCACGACTACTGAGTAAACCATTGGAAACAAATCTTGCAATAAAAGGACCAGTTCTGTGCGAGAAAATAATAAGACAATATAATACAGTATTTGAGCAGTTGGTAAATAAATACCCCTGATCTGTGAAGGCTGCAGAGACACTAACAGTTGACTGATGTAAAGCATCTTTATTCAATTGATGTCCACAAAAGCGAATTCCGTTTAATTGTAAATAGTCTTCAGTACATTTGACAGCACCCGCACCCGCCTCACCAGCTTTAATACCGGAGTCACGTATAGAGAATTGGTTGTCTTGGTCTGAATGGGTTGCAGCGGAAGTGTTGGGCACCGAATAGGTTAGAGAGCAATAGTATTGCTCTTTTCTAAAGCATATACTATAGTCTATAAATTAAACAAATTAAAAAGGGAAAAGAAACTACTCAATTATAAAAAACCTAAATTATTGAAATATCCAACGCCTTTAGAATTTGAATCAGTGTTCGCTTGCTTTAGGAAATCATAGTTAAAACTCATGATAACTCCTGTCGGGCCCACAAAGTATTGCAAACAATTCGGTGGAGCTATTCGTGCAAAGTTGTCATTATTTTATTAAGTATTTGAATAACTTTTGAAAAAGGAAAGTGTTAATTATATTGTATAAAATACTTGGTGAATTGTATCTTTTTACATTAAATAAAGTTTAAAGTTGTCTAAGTTGTCTTTTATTTTAACTATGATTGTTCTTAACTTTTCATCGAATGTCATCCACGCTAACTTTTGTCACTTGAAATAAATTTAACTTAAAAAATGAAAATTATTAAGTTTTTAATTGTAATTTAGAACCTCTCGAGGGATTCATGCATTCAATTTGTGACTGTTCTTATAAGGTAGCGGAGACACGGCTGGGGAGACAAGCGTGCAAGTCTTACTATCCGGGGACTTGGGGTAGGTGCAGATACATATGATTTATATTTATTGTTTAATCGTAAAATAATAGTTTTAATCATATTATATACAGTGATGTCCAGTATTATAGCCGCACATTTGTGGCACAACTGAATTCAGATTCTGTCCGGTTATCATAAACTGATCGTTATCACAGCTGCCGTCATTTGGTTGCATTAATTCAAAGATCATCAAATCAAGTCTTATAATAAATCAAATACAAAGTAAACAGTTAATCACAATTTTAATAGTTTTAACAATTATTAGACCTTATTTGACATATTTGATTAACTCCTGGAATCCTATGTATAGTAAGTGAACACGTATTGTTATTATTGTAAGCCGAGGGAAAGCCAGGATTTGTGAAGTAAGTGGAGTTCTGTGCGGCTATACCTCCACAAGTTCTCGGGACTTATCAGAAATTATTTATATTTAAAAAATATTTAGCTTATAAAAAGCAATTTATTTAATACAAAATACTTACAAACACAACATACATTACTGACACCACATCTACCAATAGGCACCCCTCCTTGTTGTCTACAAATAAGACTCGAGTAGCAAGTTCCTTTCATGGTCTGAACCGTTTGATTTGATATTCCGGGTATAAGTGTTGATATCGCACATGACGGACCAGAACTTAGTAGAAGATTACCGATCCTTGTTGTCTACAAATAAGACTCGAGTAGCAAGTTCCTTTCATGGTCTGAACCGTTTGATTTGGTATTCCGGGTATAAGTGTTGATACCGCACATGACGGACCAGAACTTAGTAGAAGATTACCGACTATTATGTCACAGAATTGAGTCATTAATTTATTTAAGAAATTAAATAACATTTTATAATTCATTGATTACTTGCAGAAACAGTTGACAAAACTGTTAATATTAGAGATAACAAAGATATGACAAAATTGAAAGTGTTAGCCATCGAACAAGTTTGAAATGAAAGTGAAATTTAACTAGACATATAGTCNTTGAGTCATTAATTCATTTAAGAAATTAAATAACATTTTATAATTCATTGATTACTTGCAGAAACAGTTGACAAAACTGTTAATATTAGAGATAACAAAGATATGACAAAATTGAAAGTGTTAGCCATCGAACAAGTTTGAAATGAAAGTGAAATTTAACTAGACATATAGTCACTTTAAAACTACTACAAAACAGTCATTCAATCATTTAAAATATGATTAAATAATTTTTTGAGCAAAAAATATAATACATTAGGAATAGAGCAACAAATTGAATAAAAGTTGAGGAAAATATTATTTGAGAGTAAAACTGTTTTTGAAGTTATCATTCAAAGAGTTTATTTGCCATTGAGTTCAGACCTATTGTGTGACAAAGAGGAGGATATTTCTCTATTCATTGAGTTTATAGTTATTGTTATGACATTAGAATTATTGCATTTTTATCATTGAAATCTTGTCCCAAATTGAACGCTTCGCTAGAAATTTGATTTGATTTTTAAACAATTATTTTTCAACAGAAGCCACAACACTATCTCTGTTGAATTGACCCTAATTTCACTCATTATTGTCTGTGAGATAAATATTAGTCAATGAATGCTAACTGAATATTTTAAGGAAATACATATTTATGGTCACAATAAATATTGTTAATTATTGTTAATATAATACACAGTATATTGTTATACATTGTCTAATTTAATCATTATTATTTAATAAAGCAAGTTTATATATTTTTTTATACATATTGTACTTTTTAACAGAAAACTAAATAATCATTTATATCATAATTTGCATTCAACGCATACTTTATATTGTACAGTATAGTTCATTTATTTAGAGATAGGAATCGAGTTAAAATTATCCTAGTTAAAAATAATTTACTTGTAATTTGGCATGATATTTTAAAAACATAACATCAATTTTAAGTTTTGCATAAAATTTGAATAATACCAATATTTTACATCTAAACATTATTAGTACCATATTTATCAACAATTTTATAATTTTAATTATTAAAATAAATTACAATAATTTTACATCACTAATCTAGTAAATTAAATAAAACAATTTTAATTAATGTTAATAATGTAATTAAAACAATACAGTTGGCATAATATATTGGTATAATTATCATGTATTAATCAGATTTTATTAGATTTAAATATGTCTAAAGATAAAATGTTAAACATTAAGATATAACAGTATTTATAAATTTATTATACAAGAAGAGATTTTTGGTGTTAGGGATCATTCAATAAGTACGTACGCAAAAATATATAAACTTGCTTTATTAAATAATAATGATTAAATTAGACAATGTATAACAATATACTGTGTATTATATTAACAATAATTAACAATATTTATTGTGACCATAAATATGTATTTC